TGTCGGAGTGTGTGTGTGTGTGTTGGAGTGTGTGTGTGTGTGTGTGTTGGTGGCAGCCGTACACACTATGGAGATGTGCTACTTCCTATCAGTCCATGTGTGGAAATATACTTTGTTTATCTAGGTCTTAGCCAATCAGAATCATTCATCCTGAAGTAATGGCGTAGCTAGGCCTTGGTGAAGGGTACAACTGCTGTGATCTTTGTAAATGACAACAGAGAGGCCTACGAACTCCGTGCGAGTCTTGAAGCGGATGAAACGACACACACTCTTCAGTAAATGTTCTTCAGTTGACTGCACTTTGGTCTTCATGACTCCTCATATCTGGTTCTGGGTCTTTAACTGTAAACTCCCCAACAGGATCTTTCCCTCACTAAAGCCGTTACACAGACTTTGTATTTTTGCCAGATTTTCAAATACTTATTTGCTTTAATCAAATTCACCTCGTAGCTGTTTGGTTCATGATTTATAACACTTGAACAAAGAGTTTTTTAAAACCCCTATGGAAGAAACGAAGGGGAAAATACTTCCGTGACCAGCGCCACTGAATAATTAACTTATGCATATTAAACCCATAGACTGTAAAAACCCCATGAACATCAGGACTGCAAGCGCGAGTACATGCGTGTCACAGCTTTCTCAGAACTGACACGTCGGGTGTAGGTCACTGTGACTAAAGGGAAGTGGTCAGCTTTAGCTAGAAACGGACTCATCACCTCCATCTCAGCAGAGATGAGTCAGTATACTCCAGAAATATGCCTCCTAAAAAAAAACCTTCCACTGAAACACTTCACACTCGATCAAACTTCCCAGTGACGTTAATTTAGAAATATTTCAATGCTTCATTTGCATTGTTCTTCTCTTAGGCTCAGGGTCGATTCACGGAAAGCGCAAAATAAATGCACAACTTATAGCCTACATAACAGCTGACTAGTAAAACACGAAGATAAGTGCAGAAGATAAGACTATTGAATACACACGTCTGCTGTCCAGGCAGGGTGTGTTGAGTCGACGGCCTTCAAGCTGCTGACCTGCACTAACATCCCGGCTAACACTTCAGTTTCGGATCCAATTCTCACTATTAGTTGCTTATTATCATGCTGTTTATTAGTACTTATAAAGCACACGTTAATGCCTTATTCTGCATGGCCATATCCTACATCCCTTAATCACCCGATACCTAAACTTAACTCCAGTAATAAGCCATTATTATGAGTTTATTGAGGCAAAAGTTGTAGTTAATAGTGAGAATTGGACCGTAAACTAAAGTGTGACCCACTCATGGTTAATGATCGAGACGGGAAACAAGACCTCGTGGGCGGCACTGGCGAGTCTCAGAAACACGATATAGTTTGTTTCTGAAAAGTATCTATAATCTATTGAAGTTGAGCATTGGATGGACGTGTCAAAACTGAGAGCGCTTCTGGCGGAGGAAGACGAGCCGTGAAAGAGAAGCGATCGATGCTATTTTGGGAAATTAGGTGACCTATAAATGTCAGTAAATATCTGGCGTTAATAAAGGAAAGGGGAAGTGAGTGACTCTTTGCTGACCGACAGCAAAGACTAGATACTCCTACAGTGCATTAGTGCCTGTACACGTCATTTTACATTCATTTCTCCCATAGGGATTTCAAAAAATTCTTTGTCAAAGCATTTTAAGCCATGAGTCAAGCCAACCAGCACCAGGGCGAATCATAACATTACACACTTTAAGCGAAACAGTATTTGAAAATAAGACAAAAACACAAAGGTACAAGACTGTGCACTCAACGGCTTTACTGAGGGAAAGAACTACAATCCCATAAGGCATTGCGAACGGCTTAATCAAACTAAAACAATGAGGAATATAAAACTACTTGATAATCAATCAATCAATCAATCAATCAATCAATCAATCAATCAATCAATCAATCAATCAATCAAATCCTTTTATGACAGACTCAAGGTCCAAATCTTACCCACAACAATACATAAATACATATCCATAAACGCACATACATACATACATATAAAAAAAATAAAATAATAATAATAAAAAAATATAAAAGGAAAATCATTGTTCTACCAGAAGACAATTATACCAGTGTTTCCACATACGGGATTGGTATAGGCTATATATATATATATAAAAAAAAAAAAATTGATTATGCATATTTTGCAATAAAATATATAAGTATTTTGAGAGGCCGACTCGATTGCGTAACGGGAGTGGGAGGAGCGAAAGAGATATTTTTGAGTATTTTACTTGGTTTGAGTCTGATTGGTGTAATTTTCTTCACAGCATCATAAATAATGTAGTTTTTTTAAAAAATGTTACCACAAATTCCACGGTTAATAAGGGAAACTGCAGGCAGTGTCAATTTTGAGATTTTGGGATCATGTTTTTTTTTCAGACTAGTGGACAGAAAACATCCAAAGTACACTTCACTGTATCTTTTAGAACACTTTATCTATTAGCATCTGTAGATTTCAATTACAATATTACAGTATATATTACAGTATAAGGCCGTTTTTCCTCCTACATTGAGCCAGAAATCTCCACTTCAGTAACACTCACGTACACCACACCTTACAGTTTTATCCTTATCTATATAATGAAGCTTTTTACAAAGGGGTTTGTTCATATATATATATTTCCTGATTTTATACAACATTTTATTCCAAAAAAAATGGCGAAAATGTAATTATTTTGGGCTGTTGACCGGATTTTCTGATTTGTGTGATAAAGAGTGATAAATAGAGATATTTCAAATGTTTTTTAGATTTTTTTTTATGTTAAAAAAAATAAAAGGTTATTTATGAAGTTGAACTTTTCCCTGGAAAAGTATTTGAGGAACCAAAACTGCTTCTTCCTTTATTTATTTTAAGAGTGTATTTTAAGCATTTAAGTGACCCGATATGTAACTGTCTGAAAGTTAATATAAGGCGAGGAAGTGACTTTAACATGATATCTTTAATCTGACTCTGCATCAGGACTCGCACACACACACACACTTAAAGCAGAATAACACAACGGATCCCTCCGAGCAGCTCAATGGACCAATTACAATAATTCACCTGTGTTCAAATACCATAAAGACATGCAGAAACAACACATATTTATTCTCATTTACATTACATTTAAACTTTACTGAGTCATGTCAAAACGTCACTCACACATCTGTCCTGTTAGTCCTTTTAGTCTTTGATCTCAATATTATTGCTATTAATGCATGCCAATATGAAACTAGAGTATTTATCATATTCAGAAGAGGCAGAAAGTCTTTGGTTATGGCGGTGTCGCAACTGTTTATTATATCAAAGATGAGTGTAGGAAAAATATACATTACCATTCAAAAGTTTGGGATCAATAATATTTTTAAAAGAGATTGGGTAACACTGACATGACACCTTCATAATCATGTCATGACGTGAAGGAGGTTTAATGCATGTTTGTGACAACTGTCATTAAGTGTCATTCGCTCAATTATGACATTTTTAATGCAAATATGACATTGTTTGAGATGCCTTTGTTATGACAACTTGACAAACCAATACATCATAACCTGTCAGTGTCTTTGTTATGACAACTTGACATTACTAAGACAACACAACCTGTCATAAATATGTCATAAACATGACATAGCAGATTAATCATCAAACTTAAGAAACCACTTAGCTTTATGGGTTAACATTACATTAAACTGTCATGTGGTTGGTTTTGACATTGGCTGTCATGAAGCCATTATAACTGTCATGAATATTTTTCTTGACCTCAACTACAGTGGTACACATTGAATTTGTCATTAAAATGTTATAATGGCCTCATGACAGCCAATGTCAAAACCAGCCACATGACAGTTTAATGTAATGTTAACCCATAAAGCTAAGTGGTTTATTAAGTTTGATAGTTAATCTGCTATGTCATGTTTATGACAGGTTGTGTTGTCTTGGTAATGTCAAGTTGTCATAACAAAGGCATCTCAAACAATGTCATATTTGCATTCAGAATGTCATAATTGAGCGAATGACACTTTTCTGAAGAATCATGTGACACTAGCTGCATGTTTCCATTCGAAGTTGGGAATTTTAACTTATGCGCAAAATTTGAATATATAGCGAGAAACATTTGCAGATAAAGTGGCGTTTCCATCCCGTGGGTTCAGGAGAACAAAACCATCACCTCTTACGAAACTGGCGTAAAATATCAGTAATAAAAGTGGAAGATTCTGCAATCGAGGGATTTAATGGGTGAATGTGTTTCCACCGTAGTGTGTGAAAGGAATAAATTACTCCAAATATATTACAATAGAAAACAGTTTTAAACTCTTTCTCCACAATTGACGTAATTTCCGTGTTTCCACTGTTATACGGTAGGGGGCGCTGTTACACTTCTTCTGGAAGACTACAGAAGCTCCGGATCAAAACACATGCAAAAAACAAGCGATATTATATGTAATCATATGCATATGTAAAATAAACGGGATCACCAACTTTAAACAGCATATCTATATCAAAACTGCCTAATGTTACAGAATGAGCTGTCGCCCGGGACGAGCTGCAGGACTGAAGCTTTAGGGGTGTTGATGGACTACATCTGTGTTTTGATCATCGCTCTGAATATAATCTGCATGTAAAAACGTGATTTTTGCAAAAAAATTTGCTTTATTTTATGAAACGTACCCACATTCAAGTGTTGATAAAAAAATAATGCGTGAATAAAAAAGTTATTTTGTTTAAAAGCAGTGACTCTGGGAAATTAAATTTCTTTGAAAATGATCAAAAGCACAACTCTGGTGGGGAAAGTGTTAAAATTTAGTATTTTTACAGTTTTTACGGTATTTTTGATTAAATAAATGGCGCCTACTTTAAAATGAGAGACTACTTTAAAAATGTAATTCTGAGCCCAAACTTTTGAATGATAGTGTGCATAATGTAATATTGTGGTGCATTGTGAATTATGCCTTTTGCAAAGACAATTCTCTTTCATACAAAACGTTGAAATATTTGACACAGTACATTTAATGCAAGGCCAAAGGTGAACCGGTGCAGAGGTGAAGAAACACAGGAACCGTCCGTCTGTCTGTCTGTCTCACAGCACTTCCTGGTAAGACGAGGAAGTGGCGGCGCCGGCTCCGGCCGCAGGGTGACGCTGGAAGTTGATTTTGTCATACAGGGTTTGAGGCTGCAGAGGGAGTGAGAGGACGGCGTTACAACAGATCACACAGAAATGCTCTGCAACGGTGCGGTCAACCAGCGTCTGGAAACACGCAGCTGAGATGTTCATGACTATAACCACATTCACTATGCCCACTCAGAGTTAATGCATGTCATGCAACACAAGTTAATGCATATTATAAACCCGTTTTATGAGCAAAAAAGGGTGACAGCAATGTTAGATGCATAAAAGTACTCACCATGTTTTGTGTGAGTTTCAGGTCGTCCACAGTTTCATAAATGGACATCCCTTTAACACTTTCAGGGCGTTTCTGTGATATAGATTACATCTGGTTAGCTGCTAAAAGTGTATCTACATTGCTAGGCCACAAATGAGGTTTGCATGCATATTAAATAGAAATGCATACACAAGTAGTTATTGAAGTGCATCTTGCACACGCACAGGAAAGGCAGAAGTCTAATCTAGGACAGCAGAAATGAGCCGCTCACCTTCGCAACGCCATCAGTGTTCACGTCTTCATAGACCGTAATCCCAGTTTGACTCTCATCTTGTCCTGAAAGTGTGTGAATCATGAATAAAACGCTTTTCAGAAAACATAGTTCAGCTCCTTGATTTTGATTGGTTGAGCCGCGTTCAAAGTCATTGTAAATTACTCTACAAACATTCAAAATAAATGTTTTTATGGAGTAAACGTTTTGTAAGAGCAATAAGCCCTGTGAAACTAAGGGATGCTATAGAAACCCTTACAGAAAGAGTTTTTTTTTCATATATTTATGATAAATATATTAAAGCTGCTGTAGGTAACTTTTGAAAACATGTATTTGCTAAAACTGTCATTATGTCCTGACAGTAGAATATGAGACAGATAATCTGTGTAAAAATCAAGCTCCTCTGGCTCCTCCCAGTGGTCCTATTGCCATTTGCAAGAAATACACGCTCCCGGTCAGAAACAACCAATCAGAGCCAGGAGGAATGTCTTAGCAGTGTCAATCACGCTCATGTACGCGCTGATCACACCCCTCAGTCTCTTGCACAGCGCGAGCGCCGGAGCGCGAGCCGTCGTTCAAACTCAAGATTGCCGACGTGCTGCAGCTGTGCTTATGACGGAGAAACAACCTAAACTGCCAATTCTCGAGTGACACCTGCTCATAAAACAAAGAGGTAAAAGAAAAAAGACTGATGACGATAAACGAGCGAAAAAGAAAGAATTACACAGAGCCCATTGACTCGGTGTCAAAACTCTAGCCGCATAACATGTAGATAAAATGTCACCCACTCTGCTAAGCAACAATTGAAACCTACGGAGCCCCTAAAGGGACGTGGTGGTGGAAATTTTTTTAGGATGGGAGATTTTTTTTTTTCAATCTTTTGCGTTCCCACGCAAAACCTGTTGGCAGCTCGGACAGACACTTCCTGTTTAATGTCCCGCTGGCAGTGTTTCAGAGCTCCGTACGTTAATGGAGCGTTTCATAGTGTTTAAACTTGGACTCTAATATAAAGAAATGCGGTCAGTGCTTAACTCAAGGTGTTCAGTGAAGTTGGCAATATATTCACATGCTATTCAAACTTCCCGGATCAATATTCTTGAGCTAAACGTTGTTAAAACACAGACGACATCTATTTACAATCACAGTAACCTAGACAACGAGCTACAACCCAATTCTCCTCATTGTCCTCAAAACGAGCTTTATAATATAAATGTCTTTAACCGGCGAGACAAGTCCGAATAAGGGACCGTCTGCAAAGTGCAAATCCCAAAACCCTTCTGCACATTTTATATGATTTAACATATTCAATAGCTTCACTGTGATACACTGTAGGCTACTGTCACCAAATTCAGTTCCAATAACTTTACCCTTTTTAGAAAAAATATTCAGTAACTTCACACTGTTATAGGCTACAGTGTAATGCCATCAAATTCAGTAAGCAAATATAATGCAAAAGCTATGGTTGTAACTATTATGTTAGCTGCGTACAGTACCAATATAATTTGTGTAAAGCATAGGCCTACTTATTTTTTATGTGCAATTACTTCCCAAACTAAGTGTTGTATAACCAACATTAGAGCAGTGATGTGTGAACTAAATTTGGTGTGTTACAGTGAAGTTATTAAATATATTTTTTATATAATATAAAATGTGCAGAAGCTGTGCAGTATGACTGTGTAAACTGAATTGGGTGGTTTGTAACATTGAAGTTAATGACTATTTTTATATTTTTGACTATGAGTTGATGCTGTAGTCGTTTTTGGGGTTATATTGCACTTTGCAGATGGTCCCTTCGGACTCAGCCGCCTGCGTGCTCATAGAGATCCATTTATATATTATAAAGCTCGTTTTGAGGAGAATTGGGTTGTAGCTCGTTGTCTAGGTTACTGTGATTGTAAATAGGTGTCGTTTGTGTTTTAACAACGTTTAGCTCAAGAATATTGATCCGGGAAGTTCGAACACCATGTGAATATATTGCCAACTTCACTGAACACATTGAGTTAAGCACTGACCGCATTTCTTTATATTAGAGTCCAAGTTCAAACACTATGAAACGCTCCATTAACGTACGGAGCTCTGAAACACTGCCAGCGGGACATTAAACAGGTGTCTGTCCGAGCTGCCAACAGGTTTTGCGTGGGAACGCAAATATCTTTGCGAAGGAACGCAAAAGTTTTGCGAGGGAACGCAAAGTTTCTCGGGGGAACGCAAAAGTTTTGCGAGGGAACGCAAAAGATTAAAAATAAAAAATAAAATCTCCCATCCTAAAAATTTTTCCACCACCACGTCCCTTTAGGGGCTCCGTAGAAACCTGCTAATTCACTGGCTTGTCATGTTGCTGAAATAATGTACTAGCACACCTTATCTGGCATTATATATCGCTAGAATAATTACTTACATACTGTAACGTTAGTTACCGTTATATTAATGTTATCTTACTAGCTATTTATAACTTATAGAAAGAGTGCAACGATATAAAGTTACATGTAGGCTATTGGAAAATACATAATGATTTGAGGACCAAGTTTGTAGTCAAAGTATGGGCAGGCCATAGTCAATGTAAAGCATATTGTTGACGTTTAGTCCCTATTAGTGAATGTGCCATATAACTTTTTATCCACCGTCATCGGTGGCCCTGTTTACTAGCCTGCGCGTTCACGACGGGCTCCGCTGTGGAGGACGAGCTGTGGAGGACGAGCTGTGGAGGGAGGGCTGTAGCGCAGCAGAGAGCAAGGGGGTGGGACCTGTAAGTTGTGCTTGTTCAAATTTTCAGGCTAAGTCAACGTTTTCTCAAAACTCCCTACTGCAGCTTTAAATAGTTTAAATATTTTGCATTACTATATTAAAATATATTGAATAATACAAAAGGAATTACCACTTGTCATGCATTGAAAAATATGTGACAATATGATATGATTTTATGAGGAAAGTTGTGTTGGTATTACTTATGCAAAATTCACACATGGTGTTTGAACATAAATGTGTCAGCAGTGTGTGAACACAACCTTAAAGGGATACTCCACCCAAAAATGAAAATTCTGTCATCATTTACTCACCCTCAAGTTGTTGCAAACCTGTATGAGTTTCTTTCTTCTGATTTGGAACTGTTTGGTTCCAATCGTTCTTCAAAATATCTTCCTTTGTGTTCATCAGAAGAAAGAAACTCATACAGGTTTGCAACAACTTGACGGTGAGTAAATGATGACAGAATTTTCAATTTTGGGTGGAGTATCCCTTTAAGGTAAAAATCCACCTGCTCCTCTTTAAATCACATAAATCATAAGCAGTGTCTCAGAATAAGCCATTTGCAGATTGTAGCATTTGTGACATCACATTACATAGGTCCCGCCCACAACTGCTGATGACTCCGCCCTATTCATGTAGGCCCCGCCCACAGTGAGCTGAACACAGCCCGCCATGTTTATCTCCTCGACAGAGCATTTAACAGCAGCATTCACGTAAGAAATGTATTCTTATTAAAGCTGCTAATTATTTTTCTCGACAGAGTGAGTGATTTTCTGTTTTTCTTTTGTTGTTTGATTCATATTAACAGCATATCCAGGAACTTTATATTACGCTGCTTTCACTTTAATACACAGATCGAATATACACGTTCTTTACTTGCAGTTTACGTTCACAGTAATAACCGACTGTGTTTATGTGACCTTGTGTGCATTTCAATCAATCAATTAAAGCTTAATTAAGGACACACACGGTCCAAAACACAAACAACAAAACAGACAAATACAAAAAAAAAAAAAAAAAAAAAAAAAAACGAATAAGACAAGAGAACTTAGTTTAGTAATCGGGGGACACCTGACATTCGGCTTTCTGTGTGTGTGTGTGCTGTAAAGGCTCCGCCTCTTCTAGAAATGGGGGTGGAGCAGCAGCTCATTTGCATTTAAAAAGACATGCAGGAAAACAGTGTGTTGTTCCTTCCACTCAAAAATGGGCATTTACAACATGGTATAGAGGGTATGCGCGTGACGTCACTGCCAGCTGGAGTGATTGCGGTCACGCCCACTGAGTGGCAAAAAGACTGAGCGGCAGCATTGGTTTTCAGCGTGAATGCCGTGAAAAACACAAAAATCACATCTAAAATGGGAAAGATTTTTGCGATTGACTGTACAACTACATTTGACAAGAAATCTGAGGTATATTTTTACAGACTGCCGAAAGTTTTTACAGAACAGAGAAGCAAATGGATCGATGCAATTCATAGAAACAACTGGACTCCAGGCAGAGAAAAGTGGATTTGCAGTTATCATTGAGTACGTTTACAGTAACCATAACAACGCAAGTAAACCGCGGCATGTTTACATGACTTTATTAATAAATCAGGCCATGACCCTGTGTAACGACAAAACAATCATTTGCGTATCTGACTTGAGTATTTCATTTGTTATATCGGTTGATGTTAAATAAAGCTTGCAACATGTCAAGCGGGAAACTTAGTTTGTATATTATCCTCTCATGCAGTTACAGATGCAGCGTTTTGACTGAACCATTTCTACTTCTGCTGCACGAGATGAGAGGACATTTTTATAATGTTCTGTGTCATGAAAGAGTCTGCGTTTGTGATATATTTTATTCTTCCTTTCCAGCAAAACGCTCTGTCTGGGTGTGTTTAAATCTGCACAAAGGATGCGTTTCTGTCACATTTCACACATGCGCACTTCAATAAGCCGACAGAAAGCAGGTTAATGCGTTTACATAATGCGAAATCCGAGTAAGAGGCAAAAAACGATCTGTGTCGACCGGTTTATGCTTAAGCCAGTTATGACTAAGCCAACTTTTTAAATAAACTGACAAAAAACTATAGGCTACAAGTTTTAGGGCTGGACAATATGATTATAGCCTATATATAACATTGATGTGATCACCTGGATTTAGACCTACCTATATTGTATTTATATAAAGCGTTGACAGGCAAATTTGCTTCAAGTCTTTCCCCGGCATTGAAATCAGGCACATATGAGTGTCAGGAAACACGATGGCTGCGTGTCAATATCCATGGATCACTGGATCTTTGGCCTAAGTTGTAAGGAACACGTATATCGAGTCCAAC